TTTTTTAAGCCACGGTCGACTACATGGGAGTCTAGCAACATAGCCATTATGCTAACTGCTGGCCCCAAGCAGGTGCTTCGAGTGCATACTCTGGTTTATGCCTACCAGGTCCTGATGACAGCGTCAGGCAAGCGTGGGTCTGACCTTAGCCTGGCAAAGGCAGCTGGACAAATGTGGGAGGGAAATGGACTCCTAAGAAAAAGATCAGTCCCTGGGTTATCCTAGACTCCTATAGTGCAGGAAAGGGCTTCGCTGTTGGAAGGTGACAGTCTTGCCTCTGTAGGTTTGTTTTGCTGATTGGAAATCTGAAGCTGGGGTTCTTCTGGCACGGGCTGATGTCTCACGTTGGTGGCCTTGGGTCCTTCAGGCTACGAGTCTTGCAGTCAGTCTTTTATAACAAGCCCTGAACGTCCTCTGGTTTTGTAAAAATTCTTTTGGCATCTGTACTCTGTCCCTTCCACTGATAGGGGCCACTCCCTGGCCAGACCCTACCCCCGACCGAGTAGGCTTTGCAGAATCTCCAACCTGCTCCCATAGCACCAGGGAATGCTCCTCCTGCCATGCCCTGGCTGAGGCCACCGTGTCCCCCTCAGGCTGTCTCTGCAGTGTTGGTGGCGGTGCTAATGACATTTAGTCTGAAAGTGGTACACTCCACATCGTTTCTTTTGTTTACATCTGTTTTCCTTTGCCCTAGATGTGTCCCCATGAATGTGTCAGTGTGAGCTTGTGGAAGAGAACTCTGGGTTTTAGTTTCTGTCTCTCCGAAATCACATTCTTCCCTTAGGCTGGCAGTTTGACGTCTCTGGAGCTCAGATTCTCTGTCAATAAAAGGAGGGTGATAGATAGTACCTGCCTTGTATATTTCTTGGAGTTAAGATGCTCACGTACGAAAGCATCTTAGCAAAAACACCGTGTGAATAGACCATTATTCCTTGTGACCCGCCAGCTACATGATTTCTCTGTCTGTAAGCAGAGGTACTCACTCGCAATTCCAAGACAGATGAGAATCTATCTTACTTGAAAACACCTCCCTCTGGACATGCATTCATCTCTATCATTAGGAGTTTCTCTTTTATGTGTAATTGAAATCCATCTTTGCGCAGTTTAAAATGATTTCTCCTCTTTCCTTTCTTCCACGAGCAGCTGCTCACCCTCGTTGTTTGTCCAGCCGGCAGACATGAATCATGTTGTGTTCCTTTTTCTCCCCCCAGCATCTGTAAACTGCTCTCTATCTGGAGCCCATGCAGTAAATACCAAACCACCAGGAATGACACAGCAGGGGAGGGACCGTGCATGGCCCTGCTAGCTGCAGAGGAATAAAGACAGATTGACAGCAGAATCACACTTTTTGGACTTCTCATGCTTTTCTGAGATTTTTGCTTTTTTGGATATTGTTCTTTATTTCCTTGCTATAGGAATTTGTAGGGAAGGAACAGTGTCTGGATAACCATCCCTGCCACCTGAACCATTTGCCTGAATTTGGAGCTAGTAATTAGCATTTTCCCGACATGCCCATTCATTGCGGCTCAGGACAGCTCTCCCCTTATGCTTCTGACTGGGCTCCCTCTGGCATGGGGACTGTGGTTCAATCTCCCAGGGTCTGAGCCTCCTCATTGTGACAGCACTCTGGAGCCTGGTTTTCCTGGATAGATGTCCCCCAGGGCGGGCATCTGCAACTCCACCACTTGAGGCATTTCAGCCATTCCACAGAAACCTAATGGAGAGGAAAATGACAGCAGTAGAGGCGGGACCCCCACCTCCTGCATGAGGGAAGTTGTATCCACGTGGTTCTTACTTAATTTGATTTCTCCTTGCTTTCTGGGAGGACCTCTCCCTTTGCCCTCATGTGAGTTTGGGTTTTCTGCCTCGTGCCTTTGCTGTCTCGCGCAGCTCACTGCTTTTTTTCTCTGGTAGGTCAGCAAAACCGGTGCCGAGGGAGCAGTTCTTGATGAAGCTAAAAATATCAATAAATCTTTGTCTGCTCTTGGAAATGTGATCTCTGCCTTAGCAGAAGGAACAGTAAGTAAGCCTGTCCCTGTCTATTAAATATTATGAGAAGTCACCGTTTGGGTCTACGTATTCCCTTTGCCACATACCCTAGAGATTTGTTTGTTCTGTTTGGAAGAGCACAGAGGGAATCCTGGCTGTGGATGCCTGGAAGACCCAGTCTGTTAAAAAGTGGGAATGGTGGGGACCAGCAGTTAGCTTAATGGCTGTGTCGCTGGACTCCCACATAGTTGACTGCGGTTCAAGTCCTGGACCCGGTGGCTTAAACTCACGCCAGGCGTGTGTGCGTGTGTGTCCAAGATCCCGAGAGGAGAATGGAGAGAATGGAGGAGAAGGGATTGTGGCATGGCCATCCCCTCTGGGGGGTGGGTGGGTGATTTCTCGCTTTCTGTCTCCCTGTCTCTCTCTGTCTTTCTGGCGAGTGCACACGCCCTATAGCAAAAAGCTCTCAAAAAAAAAAATTTGTGAATGGTGATGCTCATTTCCTGTGTGCAGTGGGCATTCCAGACCTAGGCAAGATCCAAGGACCCAAACACGGATTCTTACGTCACTCATGTTTCTAAGTGTGGTGTCCCCATTCCTGACTTGCTTGCCTCCCTGTTTTTCCCTTCAAATGGGCTGTCCAAACCAATCCTTTCTCTCAATAGAAAACACACGTGCCCTACCGGGACAGCAAGATGACGCGGATTCTCCAGGACTCTCTGGGTGGAAACTGTAGAACCACCATCGTTATCTGCTGCTCTCCCTCTGTCTTCAACGAGGCTGAGACCAAGTCCACGCTGATGTTTGGTCAGAGGTGCGTGTGGCCTCTTGGTCCCCATGCTCTGTGCTGGGTCTTAGGAGTGAGTGGCAGGGAAGCTAGTGGCGAGAGTAATAAGGTGAGGGGGCAAGATTGTCACTTATAGGTGATGTCTGAACTCCAAGCATCACTTATTCAGGCCAAAGGAATAATTATGTTTTAAAATAGTGGGCAGGAGTGTGCCAATCAAAGGCATGATGTTAAAATCACGATGCCCAAAGTGATGGTTGGTGATTCAGTGAAGTATTTCTTTTCTTCTTCATGGAATTGAAGTCTAACCTTTAGGTTCATGTGATTCCAAGTGTGTAAATAAATCGGCTGAAGATTAATAGCTATCTTTAATTCCAGTATTTGGAATCCATTGCGAAGTTGCTGCTAAAACAACTAGAAATTTAGGTGCCTGTAGACTAGTGGAATAAATATGAAGCTGGGGGGCTTGGACAGAGTCAGGAACCCCAGGGGTAGGAGGTCCAGAACACGTGGGGTAGGAGGAAAGGGAGATGGTAGTCATCACCTTACCTTCAGAGACGTTCCATGGTGGCCCAGCTTGTGTGGTGTAGTAGCTGGACGCCGAGTGCCGTCTGACTCAAGTCCCCAGCCTGCCTGGCTGAAGACACTCTGGGCTCCTGTCTGCATGCACAGGTTCCCGGTGGGCTGGAGGGCTGGAGGGCTGGAGGAAGGGGACTGTGATGTGACCAAGGCCTGTGGAGGTGTTTCTCTTCCCTCGTCTTTCTCTCACACATGCACACGTGTGATCATGAATAAAAAGATCTCTGGATGGTGTTCACATCAGGGATACCTCGGTAATCCTAGAGCAGCATTCCTGTGCGTAGCTTTTCTTTCCTACAGTTTCCTTTGTCACCTGCCCTTCCCACTTCCCTGGGCCTGACCTCCTTCAATCATATTGCTCAGTCCTGGTGTCTAGGCTGCTCTCTCAGCTATGGAGACCTCGGTGTTAGTTCCTTGAGTGCTCGGGCTGCTGCTGCGGATTCAGATGATGTGAGCATGGTAGTGCTTACTGGGCCAAGTCTGGAGCTAAGGTTGGGAGACAAGGATTCTGCCACCCTCATGCCATTCAGTTCTAAATAACTGTGTTATCCTTAGACAAGTTGCCAGCTCTCTGTGGGCTTTAGGGGCCTCATTTTTTTAAAAGAGATTTTTACTAAAGGGCACGTGCAATCACCAGAGAGACAGAGAGAGATAAAGAGACAGAAAGCAAGAAATCACCTCACAGTGGGAATGGCCATGCCACAATTCCTTCTCTATTCTCCTCTTGGGGGTTTGGTCACACATGCACACTTGCCTGGTGTGAGTTTCATGCCTCCGGGTCCAGGACTTGAAACAAAGTTGACCATGTGGGAGTTCAACGACATAACCATTACACCATCTGCTGGTCCCATAGCTGCCTCATCTATAGGGGAGCTCTCACAGGGGTGCTCTCTGTGTCTTCCTCTTGAGAGTGTGTGTTGATATACCCAGAGAAAGGACAGATGAGGGCAGGTGATCTGCATGGGGAATTGCTGTGGTTTGTTTAAGTTGCATTAAGCCCAGTCATTTCCTGAGCCCTCAACAAGACGTAGAATCACAGTCATGACACCTGTTGGGATGTCTAAGTAAATAATAATTACACTGAAATGTTGTAGGACGAATATATCTTTTGAACTGGATTTGGGTCCTTTACTTCCTCTCAGAGGACTTCCCTGACTAGCCAAATGCATAATTCAACAGGATTGCAGCAATAAGGTAACACCTACTTTCCTCAGGGTCCCAAGGTACCCATATACCAATGTCTGCTTCTGGAAAACAGGATGCATCTTGCTCCCCTCCCCCACGCCCCAACAGCTCCCTATCTCTGTGTGTGTCTTTTTTTTTTTTTTTTTTAATTTACTGTAGAGTTTGTGTACTCTGTGGATGAAAGAGAGAGCAATAAGTAAAGTGAGAAAGCACTTCCCCCTCCGCACCCCAGGGAGGGATCACATGACAACCCCTTCTCTTCCTCTCTCAGGATTGTGGGCATGCACACACACACACCTGCCATGTTTTTCAAGCTGCTGATTCTGGGCTCTAAACGTTTAGCCAGTCATGTGGGACCCAGATGCCTTAACACCATACCAACTAGTTGGCCCCTCTCCCATTGTCTTAAACTTAAGTTTAACAACATCCTCTAAAGATGTTTGAGTATACTTGTTCCAAATGCATTTATAAAGGAAACATCTCCTTAAAAAAATTCTCACCTGCAAAAATCGTCTGGATCTTTGCAAGCCAGAGTCACCCTGGGGCACTGGGTTATCTGTCAGAAGGGCGCTGTTGTTAGTATCATTTGCAGTTGTCGATACAAAGAATTTCAGGTTTCAGTTCGGATGATGAGTTTTTTCCTGATCTCAGGGAAGCCATCACCAGCATTGTCATTTACATCTTTTTAAATGCCTAATATGTGACAGGCAAGTCAAAATCCTCCCAATAATTCTACCAGGAAGACATTAGCTCAACCTTGTATAGAGGGAGAAATGGAAACTTAGACTTAAATCGCTTAGGTCCACAGCCCTTGTGCAAAATAAAAACGGAAGCAGCTCATATAATCCTCCCAACGATTCTTGGGAGTGGGCATTATTACATTTTTTCTACAGGCGAGAAGACTGAGGTTCAGAGAGAAAAAGTAAATGAGAGAATGCGGCAGAACTTGGTCTAGAAACTAGGTTTACTGACACAGAGGGCTGTGCTGTCACTGCCACGTGCTCACCAAGATTCCCGATCAGGGCCAGCAGGCGGCAGGGAGGTTAGGGCACTGGATCCTACGTGGCCGATTTGAGACTACACAGCCAGAAAATGACTGGATGTGTAGGATACACAGGACGCACACTATATTATTTGTCCCATAGTTGCTCACATGCAGGCTACTTGATCAGGGATTTTATTTTATTTATTTTTTAGCAATTTACCAGAGACAGAGAGAGAGAAAAAAAAAATGAAAATCACCCCTTGGGGAAAAGGCCATGCCACAATACCTTGTCTCCACTTTCCTCCTGCCTGGGATTTGGGACATGCATGCACAAGTGCCTGGCATGATCCTCAAGCCATCAGGCCTGGGACTTGAACCACAGAGTTGGCCACATAGGATCCAGTGCCTTAACCTCCCTGCCACCTGCTGGCCCTGATTGGGAATCTTGGTGAGCATGTGGCAGTGACAGCACAGCCCTCTGTGTCAGTAAACCTAGTTTCTAGACCAAGTTCTGCCGCATTCTCTCATTTACTTTTTCTCTCTGAGCCTCAGTCTTCTCGCCTGTAGAAAAAAATATAACAATGCCCACTCCCAAGAATCGTTGGGAGGATTATATGAGCTGCTTCTGTTTTTATTTTGCACGAGGGCTGGCATGTAAGAGTATCAGTGATGGCAAGTGTCCCCTTTGCTCTGTCTTAAACAGCCTGACAGTGTTAAGGCTGGGGCCATAGTAATGAATGGGACTAGATGAATGCCCTTACGGTAAGAGACTGCACTGCAATGTAAGAGATGAGATGAAATAATACAGGTTTAAAATGATGTTTCTGGAACTAAAGAATAAATACCTAAGTCCAGTCATTTGGGATACTAGGCGATAAAAAAAATCCTGTCAATTATGTTTTAAAATGAAATAGGTTGTTTTACGTTCTTTTATCAGCATCTTCTAAATTCTGAGGTCCTGACAGCAGGGACTGAGTTTGTCCTTGGCATCGATTTCCCACTGAGCACCAGCACAGCCAGTGCAGAGTAGGCGGTCCATAAGTAAATGCTTATCAAATGAGTCAACAGGTCAACCTAACTCTTACGGTGTCAGATTCCTTGGAACATCATGGCAGTCGCTGAACTGTGACCTCATTATGTCCAGAAGTTTGGTTGGTTTTCTTTTTTTTCTAGTCCATCATTAGAAATGTGTGCGTTTTATTCCTTTCCCCTTATTCCCAAGTTAGTTAATGGATTCTTCAAGGAGACTGAACTTCTCCATGGGGCCAGTATCTGCTGTATTGTTAAATGTACTCATTGAACCCAATTACACAGCAGACACAAGTCTGAACGTCGGATTAGACATGGTATCTGATAGCTAATGAGATTAAGCACTTTGAACTCAGGAAAGACTGCTGGGCACATCCCAAATTCAGTGTAACGAGTGTTCATTATATTCTCATTGCAGGGGTGGCTAAACCTTGAGGCAGTGTATAAGGTTCCTCAGTTATTCCTATGTGGGTCTTCTGAGGACCTGAAGACAGTACATGTTTGTTGCTAGGCTTTACCGTATCGATGCTCTGAATAAAACAACAGTGTGCGCTTTGAAGCAGCAGAAACACGGTAGAGTCTGCCGGTGCCTGAGGGCACCCTGTCGAGCTCCTGCCGCACCTTCAGGATTCTCCATGAGGTGTGAGAATTTAAAGGGAAAAAAATCATCCCATCTGTTTCTTGGTTTCACTGATAAATCCTGGCCCTGCTATTTGGTCAGGCTTGTCCCCTTTAGTACCCTGAAGGGGACTAGTGGCGTCAGAGCCACCTTCGTGTCATCTCAGTCTTGTTGAGGAAGCAGTGCTTGAATTCCTAGGCAGTAAAAAAATCAGAAAGGCAAACTAAAATTGAATACTTTTATTGATTTTTTTTCCACTAACTTCTAGCATTTTATATTTTAGTCTTTAATTGCTCTTCTAAAGTACTTTTGTTGCACTATTTGAAAAAGATATTTATGCATTTTAAAGTCTGACCTCAAATCACCCAATTATCTTGGAAGCCTATTTAATGTACCTTGATTTGGGGTGGTAATGAGCGAAAAGAGAGCCCCGAGGGGCAGGCCAGTCTGTTTAGGAAGGCCTGAATCAGCACATCTTCAGCACCAAGAGCTCTGATTGATCCAACATGAATAATTCAAAGGCTTTATTTGTATGTCGAATGTGGAGGAGAATTGATAACTTAGAGAAAGTAATATTCTTGCTTCTTTTCCTGATGTGCACCTAAAACAAATCAGGCCGTCGTTATTATT